GAAGACTAAGAAGAAGAAGAAGAAGAGGAGGAGGAAGACAAGAAGAAGAAAGAGGAGGAGGAAGAGAAGAAGAAGAAGAAGAAGAAGAAGAAGAAGAAGTGGGAGGAGGAGGAGGAAGAGAAAAGAAGAAGACGAAGAAGAAGAAGCGGAAGAAGTAGAAGAAGAAGTTCTTCTGTAGGCAGAGGAATTTCCTGAAGCCAGTAAATCGTCTGCTTTCTCCTAACTCAAAACCGGGACCATTGTATAACGCGCCTCTTCGTCGAAGGTCAACAGGCTAAATGCAATCACTGATCTTATTAAGCGTTGAGGGCGCGTGTAAATCATCACGCCAACACGACAGGAAAGGGCAATATCCCCCGCGCCCCGCAGTTGATGGCGTTTCGCTCACTTTCTCATCAAGTGATCGTTTCTAATTAAGAGGAAATCCGAAGTTGCTCAAATCATAGGTGTAACGTCATTGACATTTATAGCTTTGAGCTCGTCTTATCGACTCTGTACAGAAAAATGAAGAAACAAAAAGTAAAACAAGGAAAGAATAAAGAAAGCAAAAAACGAAAATGTCACAAAAGATAAAGAATGAAATGAAGGAAACTTAAAGAGTCGAAAGAAAAACAAAAGGGAAATAGCGAGGGTAGAGAGGAAAGAAATAGAGAAAGAAAGAAAGAAAGAAAGAAAGATACAGAAGAAAGAAAGATACAGAAGAAAGAAAGAAGGATGGAAAAGATACAAATGAAAGAAAGAAAGAAAGAAAGAAAGAAAGAAGGATAGAAAAGATACAGAAGAAAGAAAGAAAGATGGAAAAGATACAGAAGTAAGAAAGAAAGAAAGGAAGGAAGGAAGGAAGGAAGGAAGGAAGGAAGGAAGGAAGGATGAGAAAGATACAAAAGAAAGAAAGAAAGAAAGAAAGAAAAGAATGAAAGAAGAATGGGAAAGATACAGAAGTAAGAAAGAAAGAAAGGAAGGAAGGAAGATGAGAAAGATACAAAAGAAAGAAAGAAAGAAATAAAGAAAGAAAGAAAAAAAGAAAGAAAGAAAGATGGGAAAGATACAGAAGAAAGAAAGAAAGAAAGAAAGAAAAGATATAGAAGAAAACAAAAGAAAGAAAAAAAAGAAAAGAAAGATGGGAAAGATACAGAAGAAAGAAAGAAAGAAAGAAAGAAAAGATATAGAAGAAAACAAAAGAAAGAAAGAAAGAAAGAAAGAATGAAAGATGGGAAAGATACAGAAGAAAGAAAGAAAGAAAGAAAAGATATAGAAGAAAACAAAAGAAAGAAAGAAAGAAAGAAAGAAAGAAAAGATATAGAAGAAAACAAAAGAAAGAAAGAAAGAAAGAAAGAAAGAATGAAAGAATGAAAGAAAGAAAGAAAGAGAAAACGAAATAGAAGACACAGAAGAGTAAACAAAAAAGAAAGAAATATAAAAAAGTAAAATAAAAATAAAGAAGAATAAAGAAAAGACGCAGTAGAAAAAGAAATGGAAAAAGAAAGACGAAAAGAATGAGAAATATCAAATAAGAAAGTAAGAAAAAAGAAAGAAAAATGAAAGAAAAAGATAACAAATAGAAAGAAGAAGACAAAGAAAGAAAAGTGCAATAAAAATGAAAGAAATTAGAAAAATGAAAGAAAATATTGAAGATAGGAGAAAGACAGAGAGAAACATACAATAAAAAGATACAAAATAGGAAATACAACAGAAAGAAAGAAAGAAAGAAAGAAAGAAAGAAAGAAAGAAAGAAAAAAAAGAAGGAAGGAAGGATCGCTCTCCATCCTCCCTAGACTGCGGAATAATCGATAGCATTTCTGACAGTATCGACAAAGATCTCTTTCTCTCCATCCGTTTGCTCAAATATTAGTGTTTGGCGATTTTAACGTCCAGTATACCAAGTGGCTTAAGAATGCTACTACTGACCTTGCAGGCATTCAAACACTTAATTTTTCAGTTTCTCAATCCCTCACGCAGATATTTGACTTCCCTACGCGTTTTGCCTACAACCAGGACGGTAAGCCTTCTCTTCTGGATCTGTATTTTATCTCCATCCCCGAGTCTTGTAGCGCCTCGCAACTCTGCCCTCTTGGTAACTCCGATCACGCTGTAGTGTCTGTCAACATCTCCTTCAATTCCACCCCCTCCAAAGAACCTCCTACCTCTAGAATCTCGTTCTGCTATCAACGCACTGACTGGGACTCGTTCCGTGATTTTCTCCGCGATATCCCTTGGAACGTTGCCTTTACGCTCCCCGTTCAAGAATGTGCTTCTGAGGTCTCCTCCTGGGTCAAAGCTGAAATAGACGCTTTCACCCCCTCAAGGAAATTTAAGGTCAAATCACGCTCATCACCTTGGTTCTCTGCTGCTTGCTCAGGCGCCATTGCCCACAGGAACCACTTCTTCCACCTCTATCGTAGCGACATGTCCGACTGCAATAGACGTCTCTTTGCCTCTGTCCGCAACGAGTATAAGCGTGTCCTCAACGAAGCTAAGACGCTATTTGCTGCTCGAATGAAGAAACGTAGTGCATCTCATAAATTTGGCTCCAAGGATTATTGGCCTCTCTGCAAGAGGATACCAAAGAGTACCAAACCATCTATACCTCCTTTGTTCAACCAGTTTGAAGTCCTAACCTCCTCTGCCTACAAGGCTGAATGCTTTGCTCGGAAATTTTTATTCAATTCAACGCTCGACTCTTCTGGTGTACCCATACCAGATTTCCCTCTTAGAACTGAGGCCCTATTGAGCGAGTTGCACTTAACCCCATCATTGGTATTGGCCATTATCTCTAATTTAGACCCCCACAAGGCTAGTGGTGGAGATGGCATACCAGCCATTATCTTGAAGAAATGTGCGCCTGCCTTCTCCAAATTATACAACTACAGCCTCAAGAAATCTTGTTTTCTAGACTGCTGGAAGTCCTCAACGATTGTTCCTGTCTTTAAGAACTCCTGTGACCCCTCTAATTACCGTCCTATCAGTCTCCTACCCCTCTTCGGCAAAGTCTTCGAAACTTTAATCAACGCCGAAGTGGTTAACCACTTTACATCCCATAATCTGCTCTCTGACAAGCAATATGTTTTCCGCTTTGCCCGATCTACAGCTGATGTGCTTACGGCTATCACTGAAATTGTCTACCAAGCTCTTCAGAATAACGGGGAAGCTCGTGCCGTGGCCCTAGACATCTCCAAAGCGTTTGTTAGGGTATGGCACGCCGACCTTCTTCGCAAGTTCCGGGGTTATGGTATTACAGGTCGATTGTTTGACCGATTACAATCATTTCAGTAAAACCGTGAATTGAAAGTCGTTCTCAACAGATTCGCTTCCAGCTCCTATCCCACGAACGCAGATGTTCCCCAAGGCTCCACCCTAGGCCATACTCTGTTCCTTATCTTCCTCAACGATCTTCCTGACGCCATAGATTGCCAGGTGGGCATCTACGGGGACGACACTACAATTTACTCCTGCCTCAAAAACAAATCTAGTGTCGTTGACAAAACTAACCTGGCCGTTCGTCTCGAAAAGGACCTCCAATCGGTTGTGAACTGGGGCCGTAATTGGCTGGTTAACTTTAACGCCACCAAAATAAAACTACTCTATTAATCACCACAGAGAACATTCCCTGCACGCCATTAGAATGTCTGACGCTCAACTTCCCGAGAACGCCTCCTGCGGCTGCTCGGTCACACGTTGTCTACTGACCTGATATGGAACAAATACATTGAGTCAATTGCTTCGTCCACCGCAATGAAAATTGGATCCCTGTGCCACGCCAAGAAATCTTTCTCCCAGAATCGATCCTTCAAATCTACAAATCAACTATTCACCCTTGCATGGCGTATTGCTGCTATATATGGCCTGGAGCTCTTTCTGTTGGCCTCGGGGTTCTTGATAAGATCTAGAGACGGATATGCAATGTAATTGGCCCTGATCTGGCATCTCGTCTGCAGTCGCTCTCTGCCGTCGTCTCTTTCTTTTTACAAATACTTTCATGGTAATTGCTGATGAGCTTTGCGCTGGTTCAACAATTGCTCCCATTTCACTGTCGAAACTGTTAAATGTATTTTACTCCAATAGCTTCATATCTCGCAACTCTCGTCCCTCCCTTTACTGTTTCTGATAGCCAATCTCCAACTATTTAAATGTAATGTCAATTGACATTTCAATCTATCCACTATCCTTTTCATCATTTCCTCTATCATTCCTATCTGCTATGGCTCCAAATCCTCTATAACCCCTTGCGTGTTTGTGGATTCCCGCCTTCTTAGGAGTGAAATGTTTAAAAAAAAAAAAAAAAAAAAAGGAAGAAATAAAAAAAGACTAATATACTAAGATAAGGAAAAGAAACCAAAAGAGAAAAGGGGAGGAAAAGAACCAAAAGAGAAAAGGGGAGGAAAAGAAAAGAAATGAATAATAAAAAAAGAAATATATAAAAAAGAAAATATAAGATTTTTTTAAAGAAAAATAAAATAAAAAAGAAAAAAAATATGTTAGATGAAAGGCATTACGAAAAATAACCTAAAAAATAGAAATAAAATAAACGGACTAAACGAAAAGCATCAAGAAAAAGAAAGAAAATCTTTCTGAGGTGGCCTTGTGCCAGAATCAACTAAATTAACGCTTTCCTTATCTCAAACTGTTTGTCAAAATTGATTGATTGCATTTTTAAGGCTCATCTATAAAATATTTAATGCAAGAAAATATTTTCAGATTTCAAGAACCACTTTAGAGATAATAAAGCTTTAATTATATATAGTTGGGGGATGGGGAGGATATTTGGTCGTAAATAAATAAAACGAATCCCACAATGCACCAGTGACCCGTATATATAAATAGTCGAGAAGAAAACCAACACATGTGGCCAGATGATGGCGTCTTGCTTGAAACAGTATGTCGCCTCTGAGTGTTGACTTCAATGTTCACTTTTATATTTACACACGTTCTATCTCTGATGTGCACTTTATCCCATAAATAGTGATTTTCCAAGCGTAGCTCAGATATGGCACAAGGCCGAAAGTATGGGGCACCCAGTGAGAATTGAACTCACGCCTCAGTTGTAATTGTTCTAGCGAGACAAGCTTGCTAACCATTACACCGCCTCGTGAAAACTATATTTCTTCATATATATATATATTATAACGTCATCGACAGACAGACTGTTTCGCAGCTCAGCAGTGTGGCTAGACATCCGGTTGCCTCTAGCTAGGATCGAAATTGTGTCTGAATTGGTGTCAGTCGGAGATTCTACCACTGAGCCGTCGGCAGGATGAATGTGGATTTTAGCGTATTTATTTTTAGAAACACACCCAGTAACCGACAGTGACTCAATTCACTTTTTTGAAGAGTCTCGCATATATATATATATATATATATATATATATATATATATATATATATATATATATATTAAACTGATTTAAAATATGGTTTTCTTCGCTACACAGTAATAACCATGTTTCAAAAACTGAAGCTAAAAACTTCATATTGAATTATATAATTAAATTAAAAGGTATTAGTTCTGTTTCATCTTCAAGCGAATTTTAGAATAACTTATTTCTAAATTTACTGAGTTTTAAACGCACATATAAATTCGTAATTTCCTGTTTCCAAGGATACAGAGAAATCCAATCATTCAGACATTGGCGGTAGCGTGTTCATTTTTATTAACTATTGTTGTATCAATTATGAGTTACGTTCGAAAAAGAGGTTAAGTTTAGGGAGGGTAGGGGTGTACAGTTAAACGCATGTCGTCTGTTTTTTTTTTTTAATCATTAACGACAAAAAAGATTTTCGGCATTTTTTTTTTTTGTACTTGTATACTTAAAGATTCTTTCTAAAAGGGTTTTTGGGTTAGAATACGTTATATTTAACTACAATTTTAAAATATTTTTTACTACTTATATATATATATATATATATATATATATATATATATATATATTTTTAAGATCACTTGTTATTTGCTTTTCGGTTTATCAAATGTTTCTGCTAATTAAACCAAAATATATTTTTGTTTGTAAGAAATTTTTTTTTTTTCCGATCTAATATTGTATTAACAAATTTAAGAATAATAATGATATTTTTACAGATATAAGTCTTACTGTTTAACCCATAGTCTTATCCTCGAGTAATTAAATTCAATTGGAATTCGATCTCGGTTTTCCGATTACTCATAACCAACCCCTATTCGTTACACCATCCGCGTGTCCACTTTATTAAATAGTGCCATGCGTTTAAAGCTGAAATATTTAAACGTGACATTTACACATGGACTTTCTTTTAGTCGTGGCAAACGCAAGGAAAATATTGAGCCAGAACATTAACAATTGACTTAGAAATTTCGGAACATGAGAAAACCGGAAAAAATTTCCCCAAGTACTGATATTTTGCAATCATTTCGATCCAAGAAAGCAACAAAAAATATATAAACAAAACACATCGGCTTACTGTGACTGAAAGAACTCGAGGTTAAAAACTGACATTATTAAGACGTGAAGACAATAAAAGAACAGACATCAACAAGACAGGAGATAGCAATTAACAATACATTTAAATGTTTGAGCATAAATTTAACTAGGAGGCAGGAAGCTGAAGATACTGTTAGCATAGAACTTGCGGATACATCTTGCACTTCTGACTCTAAAACGAGGGAATCTAGCTGTTCTCGTTCCACACCTCTTCCGGATGTCTCAGTTATTTCCCTTTAACTCTACTCTCCAAGTTTTTGGTTCACCACTGCTGTAGCCTGGTATTGAACTCACAACTCTTTGAGACTATTCACTGGATCTAACCAACGTCTTTATCCACTGGGGCATGTGTCCTTTAGGAAGAGGCATGGCTCGTGGAACTAGAACAGTCTACACGAAATTAAGGGTTCGGTTCGACATTCCAGTCACGTGAAGAAGGCCGGGGGGGGGTACAACGGACGAAACGTTGTGAATATGGCAATGAACATGAGGATAACAGTCCGAATAATGTAAATAATGCAAGTAAATTCCAGATATCATAGAGCTGCTTTTCTCTCTGACGCTAAAAATCAGCCGCACGATTGTTTCTCAAACGGAGCCGTTTTATGATGTCGCACGTGTTTAATAGAGAGAGGAAATCACTAACGTTTGTTTGTTGTGACTGAATTTTGGTTCGTTAGTCATTTCGCCCGAGGAGAGAATAATGAATACATTTGACTCAAATAGGTTCATAAGGGAGACGGAAAGAGTGAAGAGGAAAGACGAGAAAGAGAGCTATTTTGAAAAGAAAGAAAGAAAGAAAAGAGGTCGTGAGTAGAGGGGAGATATACGGATGGAAGAGAAAGAACGGGTGAGATAGAACCGAAAAAGAAAAAAATAGAGAAAGAAACACAAATTGGAAAAGAATTATTGAAAAAGAAAAAAAAAAATCTGCGGACGTTAGCCATTTTTGCCCGAGGAGGCCATAATGAATACATTTCCGAGAGGGTGACTCAAATAGGTGAGTGAGGAAAACAGGAATAGACAAGGGAAGAGACGAGGCGGAAAACTATTTTGAGAAGCAAGAAAGAAAAGAGGTCGCGAGTAAAAAGAGAATATACAGACGGAAAGAGAAATGTTTTACATTGAAAAGAGTAAGTAGTTGTAGTAGTAGTAGTGGTAGTAAAGAAGAAGTAAAAGTAATAGTAAGAAGTGGAGAAAAGTGGTAGTTGTGAAGAAAAATAGTAGTAGTAGTAGAAGAAGTAGTAGTAGTGGAGTGGTAGTAGTAGTAGAAGAAAAAGTAGTAGTAGTAGTGGAAGAGGAAATAGTCTGTAGTAGAAGTATCAGAAGTAGTAGTAGTAGTAGAAAATACTAGTAGTAGTAGAAGAAGGTTTCCTTAGTAGAAGAAATAGTAGAAGAAGAAGAAGTAGTAGTAGTAGTAGTAAGAGTAGTAATGTCATAGTAGAAGAAAAGTAGTAGTAGTAAAGAAACTATTTACATAGGTAAATCCCTTCGTAAGGGGGCTGTATTCAGCTTTTTAGAAGAGAAAAGAAGAAGTAGTAGTAGTCCTAGAAATTAGTCTAGTGGAATATTTTTCCAAGAATTGAAGGCTCCAACTACAGTAGTAGTATAGAAGAGGAAGAAGTATTTTTGAGATTTCTGATTTTAGAAGTAGTAGTATTCTGATAGTAGTAGAAGAAGATCTTAGGTAGTAGTAGTAGTAAAGGAGAAGACGAAGAGCCAATTTTTGTAGTAGTAGTTCGAATAAATTATTATTTATTAGTAGTACATACATATTATGTAGTATTAAAATTAGAAGAGGAAGAAGTAGTAGTAGTAAAGAGAGAAGAAGAAGTAGTAGTAGTAGCAGCAGTAGTAGTAGAAGAAGAAGAAGTAGTGGTAGTAGTAGTAGTAAAGGGAGAAGATGAAGAAGTAGTAGTAGTAGTAGAAGAAGAAGAAGAAAGCCAGGACAAATTAGTACCTGAAAAGAGCTCTACACTAATCCATCTTAAATTAGACATATACACAAGTGCCTATAATACACACACCGCCCGCGCGCACGCACACCATATGTTATATATATATATATATATATATATATATATATATATATATATATAAACTGTTTATTTCCATATCTATTTTTTGGCCATGAACATGCTGCTGTAGTGATGCTTTATAAACTCATTTTTATACACAATCGTCGTCATGTTTGTTGCGATATTATCACAACATTTCAGCCGATGTACGCTCCAGCCTTTTTTTTAGGTGGTCGGAATGACAAACTGAAGCCTTTATTTCGCTCTTTAGGGTTAAACTGATCTAGTTCCACGTGCCATGTCTAATGGATGTCAATTATCAGTTATATCCTGCTAATTCCGTGTCAATTACCTTAAGAATACATGGAACAGTGGTTAAATGCGTTGGTCAGATCTAATGACAGGATTCAAATAGTTGTGAGTTCAATACCTGGTTAAGGCCGTGGAGAACTTGGAAAAGATTATTATTATTCAATACTCATCATATTGCATCATTTCATATTTTCACAGATAAATTCTTATGAATACATAAATAAGAAAGAGATTTCAGCCATGCATTGGATTGAGAAACAAACCCGTATGAGGAAAAACGATGCGGAAGTCACAACAAATTTTTTTTTATCAATTGCCGCGACACTAGTATTAGTGTTTCTTGCACTCTATGACATGGATTTGAATTAAATTAAATTAAATTTGATTAAATTTAAAAAAAAAAAAACTCAATTTATTGACTAAGGTAACAGGAATAATTTTTGTAATTTCCACAAAAATGCAATTTGTTGTTATATGGCAACTAAATTAAAAAAACACAAATACATCCAAATAATACCTTTATCATCTACACACACACGCAAAACACACACACACACACACACACACACACATATATATATATATATATATATATATATATATATATATATATATATATATATATCATCCTCCTTGGGTCTACCCATACGGATTACCTAGTTTTGCATAAACTATATATATATATATATATATATATATATATATATATATATATATATATACTGACATGATTATATTTTCGAATTGAAAACTTTATTTCATCTACTGGCTTAAATTGTTCTAGTTCCATGTGACACAGAATTTAAAACTTTAAATATAGTCTTAACTAACAGGGGAATTTCGATAGAAACAAAGAAAAGAGTACTGAATTGTTATCTAATATCTGTCCTGCTAGATGGCAGGTAATACTGGGCAATCTACTCAAAAATAAAAAAGAGAATTCAAGCAAAAGAAATGTGGTCCGGAATTTTCGGATGGTTACACCGATCGAAAGACAGATCAAAGAAGGCCGAAGAGATCAACGGCTGAAATGTTGTGATAATAAAAACAAAGATAAGGATCAGTCTATATTCTGAGATGAGGTATTGTAATTATTTACACTATTTACATTGTTCGAACTGTTGTCCTTTTTCTTCGTTGCCATATTCACGACGTTTAGACCGTTATACTCTTCGGCCTTCTTCTATATCTGTGTATATTTCTGAGATGAGGTATTGTAATTATTTACAATATTTACATTGTTCGGACTGTTGTCCTCATTTTTGTTACCATATTCACGACGTTTCGGCCGTTATTCGCCCCGGACTTCTTCAGGCGACTGGAATTTCGAACTGAACCCTTTATTTCGCCTCCGAGATAAATTGTTCTAGTTCCACGTCCCATGCCTCTTCTGGAATCCTCAGTGTCAGTAATCTCCCTTTAACCTAACTCTCCAAGTTTTTGTTCACCATTGGCAAGTCACAGGATCCAACCAACCTGAAATTCCAGTCAGCTGAAGAAGGCCGGAGATTACAATGGCCGAAGCGTCTTGAATATGACAATAAAGATAAACAATGTAAATAATTACAATATTTCATCTTAGAAAATATGCAGCGATATTGGAAACATTTATTATCATTGATTCGGATCGGAATTTATGCCTCACTTTGTGTCAAAGAATTCTGGAGAGTTTCGTGGAATTTTTCATTGTTGAAGGAGAATGTTTCGAGCAATCACGTTATTTAATAGTATTAAACAAATCTAAGTGTATTAAATAACTGTAAATATAATAAAATATTTAAAAAAAAACTGTCAAGTGTATACCTACTTTTGCCCTTCCCCTGTATATGTGTACATCGAGGTGCAGCAAAGAGTGGAATAAATCTGCTCTAGAAACGTAGAAAATCTTAAATAAAGTCTGCTTATTTTGAAAACTCCCCGCTTTTCACAGAACGCTAAATATGTTTCAACAAATCGAAATACAAATGATTAAATTTATCTTAAACAGAAAAGTCATCCTCCTCAAGAGAACATTGGGTCTCCAACTAAATGCCGACCTCAAGTGGAACTTTTATATACGATGCTAAAGATGCTGGTTAAAATGATCGGCTCACTGTACCGCTTTAGTAAGCACCTGACTTCTAATACTATCCTCTAGTTTTATACGAGCCACATCAGTTCGAAAATGGAGTACTGTTGCCATATTTTGACGGGAGTTGCCCAGCCACTTTCCATTTAAAAGCGTCTCCGAGAAGAATTCTTTTCCAACGCCCAACCTCTGTCTCTCACAGTCGGGATGTCGCAAGTCTCTCACTGGTCTATCGCTACTTCTAGGGAAAGTGCTCGGACGAACTACATTCTGTTGGTTCACCAGTTCTAACCTTCGCAGCTAGGACACGCGGTGCCATTTACATTTTAGCAAATCACTCACATTCCCTCCATATTTCACTCGAACAACTTCTTCCGCAAAACAATGCCCTATGGTAATGACCCCTAGAAGGATGTTTCTCCCATCACTACAATCTTAACCTGTTCAAGTCTAGAGTTAATCATTATCTTCCCTCTTGTCTATATAAACTACCAGTTAACGTAAACCTTTAATAATAAGATAAAAACGAAACAAAAGAATAACTGTCTGGTTACATTCAATGCCCCGAAAACCAAACTGGTTGCATTACATCACCGCCGATAAGACCCCGAACTACCGCCAGTCACGATGAACGGCTGCAGCCACTCGAGGAAGCCCCGTGCCTTGAGAGTGTATTAGGCCTCAAACTCACACACGATCTCAAGTAAAACTCCGATATACAATCCATCGCAAAAATTGCAGGTAAAATGATTTGCTACCTTTACCGTTCCAGTAAAAACCTGACTCCTCATGTTATCGTCTAGCTTTGTAAGAAACAGCGTTCGGTAGGCAAGGTCGAATTTACTGCATATAAACTTCAACCTTCGACCTTGCCTACCGAACGCTCCTTTGTGGCCGAGTCGGTTAAGGCACGTCAGCGTAAATGACGGTTCCGTATAGGATGCAGTTTCGAATCCTGTCAAAGGCCGAATATTTTCTATGAAAATTTCTCGGACATTCAGGTCGGTAAATGTTATTTAATACTGTTTATTATAAACAGAGCATTTACTTAAATACTTGTATCTATAAAAAAAAAGAACGTTAAACATAAAATGTCTTTAATAAATAAATTGTCGGACTTTGCCCATTTCTTTTTTTTTTTTTTTTTATATATATATATATATATATATATATATATATATATATATATATATATATATATATATATATATATATATATATATATATATATTTATTTAAAAATATGATTCCAACACGCTACATAAGATTTCTAATGTTTCAAAACAAGAGCCGAAAACTTCAATATAATTATTTGAATTAAAGTACTATGCTCTGTTCCATCTTCAAGCGAATTTTTTTTTGAATAACTTATTTCTGAAATTTACGCGTTTTATAAGCATGAAGTTTTCGGCTCTTGTTTTGAAACATGAGAACTCTTATGTAGCGTGTTGGAATCATATTTTTAAATAAATAATTATATTTATGTTTACTTTTGTATCGAGCACTATTTTTAAAAAATAATAACAAAAATACTAAAAGAACTTTGGATTATTTACCTACCGAGTTCTTTCCTATTTTCTATATATTTTTCACATATATATCTATATATATATATATATATATATATAGGTTTGGTGCGAACAGAATAAA